GTTTACTTTCTCAACTTTTGATACTTTGCCCAAGGAAATCAAGTATCTGCAGAGCACTTGCTTCATTTTATATTTGTGTATATTTTTTCTGTGTGAGAGGGGCCTTTTCAAATTGGATTGTTACTGCATGTTAATGTATGCTAGATTTGAAATATTTACTTCCAAAGAAATTCATAATAATAGAGCTTAAGTGCCTGGCAATGCCATAATGTTTAGACCATGGCCAGGGATTCTGGGCTTGTTAAATAGCAACATATTCCACATTAGGTACTGTCCTGAGCTCGTTCCAAGAGACTTATAGAAACTAGATGGTTCTCAAATTAAGTGTTTGTGCAGAGACTTAAGAGTGTTAAACACTCTGTGTTCTATTTTAAAATGTTCTACTACTTTTACATGTATCTTAATAGATTCAAATGAACTACAAATATTAAAAGAATAGAAGTATCTTAACTTATAATAAGAGTGATAATAACCTAATCTATGTTTTGAAAACATGCAATGTTGCTTAGAAATCAGAAAATTGAGTAGATGTATTACAGTTTTAAGAAAAATATTACTGAAACTCAAATCAAACCTGCTGCCTTTGTCAATTCCAACTTATAGCCATGCTGTGGACATGGTAGCATTGCCCCCACAGAGTGTCAAAGCTGACTGATTACCACATCTCTTTCCAGAGGGCTGCTGGTGAATTCAAACTACCAATTTGTCCATTAGCAACCAACAGCTCAGGGTCCCACCATGACTTTTTATACTACTAAAGGGTTAATAAAAATCTTTTTCATTAAATACAGTCTTTGGATTTCCAAGAAAGTCTTCGAGACAATGTTTACCCATTGTGAGATTCTCAGTACCAAAGAGGAACCCTAATGAGTAACCTTGAGAAACCTGCTCTGGCAAGTAGGCATAGTTACAAGCATCCTCTTGTATATCTGGTAAAGAGCAAGAGACAGCCAATGATGGACTGGACAGGGGGCTTCAAAGGGAGTTTGACTTATCATGTAGGCAGACAGGCTGCATTATCAAATTCTCTATTCTAGCAAGAAAAACTTTATTCCACATGAAAGTTCACCATGTAGAGAATACATGAAAGATGATTATTTGACTAAATGTATTACCAATTCTATGTGTGTGTGTGTGTGTCTGTTTGTTGTAGGACACATATTTGAAATGCTATTATTGCGTTAGAGCTAACAAATTACTGAATTCTGTTTCATTCCCTGAGAGACTATCCCTAGTTCCATATTGGAGTGGATCACTAGCTTTATCGTTAGGTTTGGTTCCATGTGGCAATGAATCGTCAAATATTTGAACTTAAGTTACTGTGGGACATTTTCCTCATAGAAATTAGCTTATATTATTTATCATTCTACAAAAGGAGCAAAGACACTGAGTACAGGTTTAAACTTGGCCAGGTTTACTCTCGGCCTGCAATCTTCTAGTTTTACATCCTTGTTTCCACTTTGAGATCCTGAGCTCACATCTGTGACTTCCTGGGAGCTCTCTCAGGAGAATGGTATCAAATACAGAGAGAAAAATCACCCTAAGAACACAAAGGCCTGTAGCAGTTTGAGGCATTTCCTTCCTCGCAGTGCTTTCCTGTCCGCTCTAACAGAGGTCGAAGTCTTGAGTTTAAACTTGGGCCTTAATACCTCTGAGAATAGAATGTAACTAGATTTTCTTTCAAGGAAAAAAAATCATCATGAGATTTTAGGGCAAGATACACTTTATGAATTGTTAAACTGTTAAAAGGACAGATTTAAATTAGAAGTAGAGATTATTGTTATTATTAAATTAGAAGTAGAGATTATTGTTATTGTTATTCTAGATCTGGTGGAAGGAACGCTGATGTCACTGTTGGCTCTCTGCTCCTGAAAAATGAACAAACCCTGAAACATTTCAGTTAGGGCTGGAAGACTCCGTGGCATTTTTATTTTTATTTTTTGCTTTCTTTTGCCCAAGGCCAGTCCACGTTAGAGCATGTTTTGTCCAAATATTATATATATGTATATATATAGACATGTATATAAGTGGTGGTGTAGTGGTTATGCACTGGGCTGTTAATCACAAGGTGAGCAGTTTGAAACCAACTTTAGCAGTTTGAAAACAGCTTTTTAGGAGAAAGACTAGACTTTCTACTCCCGTAAAGAGTTACAGTCTTACAAACCCACAGGGGCAGTTCCACCCTGTCCTGGGGGCTGGAGGATGAGTCAGAATTGACTTTATGGCAGTGAGATGAGTTTATACACACATACGCACACACAAACACCACATTTATGTATGGATACAGATACACACATACATATATATGGGCATATAGGTAAAGTATATTTTCCCTTATGTTCCCCCAAACCTGAATTCAAATAAAGTACTCTAAGATGAGTACCACAATCCTAGAAGGTGCTAACTGGCCTAAATTAGATTCAGTGAAACAATTACTTCCCAGCTTTTAGATGACACATTTTTTTATTAAGTATATAGGAGTTTACAGTGTAAACTTTCATGGAAGTTTCATTTAAAAAGTAATTTTAATCAAAGCAAACACTTTCCCACATGTGTTTAATTGTGTAGCATACATTAGCAACATTTGGAAAAATCCATGTGTAAATAGATGTTAACTATATTTCCGGTTATTAAAGTATGAAACATATTGTTTGGAAATATAAATCAATAAATAAAAGTAAGGACTCAGTGTTTCACTAGGCATTGCACTTTCCTTTAATAGCCACATTATATCAAACTTGATTTTATCATATTTACTAGTATTTCAACAGCTAGATTTTAATAGGATGCTTCAATGTATAATTAATAATGCAATCAGTAAAAGCTATTCAATGGAGAACGCATAGTCTTAATGCTATACATGAGTATTAAAGATAAAAATCTGTGACATCGTCCAACTATCTTTTCCCAGTCTGATCCATCTGTAATTCAGAATACCTAACTAAAACATAGATTACAGAGTTAGGGTAAGTGCAAAGCACTAAGCTGACAAATACAAAGTGTTGGCTATTATTGCTGTTTGGAAATCAGAAATTTGAGCTATTCATTTTGTAGTCCAACACTCATCGCTCCAATCCCGTGAATTCCCAAAGCTTTTCATATGGCTTCCTCAAGGACAGCTATCATGTCTTAGCCACTGCAATGACAGATGGGACAGAATGTGTCATGTGATGGATAACTTTGGAGCCATAGTACTTAATCCTTCTAATACTAATAGCTGCATTATCATAGAGATTTATGAGAATGTCAGTTTCAAGCTCCCAGTTCCATTCATGGGTTTTTAAAACTTCAGCTGCAAAAAACATGCATCCTTCCCATTAATTCTAATTATCATGGTTCATCTTCTCAGCAGTTTTGCACTCCGGAACCTTTCAGTGCAAATTAACGTACCAAAAAAGTGTATTAATTAATATTTGTAGCTTTTAATTTCTGCAAGAGTGTTGTCTGGAAGCAGCTGGCAGCACAGGGCTGCTGCTATTGAATCTTTGCCAAACAAGTGCAGATGTAATTTTGTTATCTCTTGCTTAGTCATTTACGCAAATTAATTTGAACAATTAGCCTTTTACTGGTCCTTCATGAATCATGCAAAAGGGATCTGCCAAAAATTGCTAGTTGACAGAAAAGAATTGGTTAATGCTGTTTTTTTTTTTGTTTGGTTTTTTTTTGCGGGAAGGTAACGCAAAGAGAAGTTGAACAGTATTTCAGACTAGACAATTGCTTAAATATTCTATTGTAAGATTTACTTACTCTTAAATAAACTTGAGAATTCCCCTGGATGGAGAGTCAACCTAATAGTAGTTCCTTTCATAGGAGGACTGTAATTTTTCATGAAATATATCCAACTCGGGCATGTCTTCAGAATCTGTGCAATTACTAAAATTCATTTAGAAAACGGAAATTTTAAATGAGATGATTTTGACTCTGTGATTATAGGTCATAGAGCCTCACTTTAATGTTCACAACTACCTATCAATATTTGTATGTATGTTTGTGCATTTCTTTATTTGTACTAGAGGGAAAATAAATTACATATAGCCTCATTTCATTGCTCATAATTACCTTCTAAACTTTTATAATTTAAGAAAAGAGAGTACTTTAAATCATTGAATACCAAATTAGTAAAATGTGAAGACTGCTTAGAAAGATCTTAGGTACATCCTACATAATTAAAAGAAAGCGCTGTTGTTGATCAGTGACAGCGAGCTGGCGCCGACGGACAGTGGTCCACCCAGAGAATGAAACCCTGCCCAGCCCTGGCCATCCCGGTCATCTCTCCTGTGTGTGCCCCTTTGTGGTAGCCACACTGCAGTCCATCTTACCGGGGCTCTTCCTGATTGTCTTGCCGGCCCTCTACACAAAGGGAATCAAGCTGTAGTTCTGTTTTTGATAAGGGGCAGTCTGGAATACAAATTAAGAAATACAAAATGAATTTCCCCTGGGAACTGATTCTTACTACCTGTGACTTTGTTTTTAATTTAATTCCAACTGGTTTTATTATTGGTATATTTGTTGTGAATAATTGGAGTTAAATAATTTTGCATCTTATAATATAAACAAATGAGTGTATGCCATTTTAATGTCAAATGAAAGCTAAGAGATAAGTACTCTTTCAAATTTTGTATAACATTGTTTTAGAAAGGCTTAAGAAACAATTTGCGTTGTACATGAAAGTATATTGCATCTATATATTTATATGTTTTAAATAAATATATGCTTATGTGGTTAGTATATTGAAGTTTGATTAAAATGTTTCATCCTTCATCTCATTCACTATACAGTTACATAAAAAATATTTAATATCATACAATATATTTTAAAGGGTCAAGAAAAATTGTGTATTTGTTTAGGAATCTGTTACAAAATAGATAAGTCTTAAAAGTGAGTCCACTTGAGATAGAACTAATAATTGATCTATTATAGAATATTTTAAAAATCCAGGTTACTTTTGTGTGTTTGTGTATGTGTATAAACTATTTATTAATAGATAAGGTTGATAGTCTTTATTTCTTCTTGGACACACAATAGTTTGGGCCACAGCGGCCAGTGGTCTTGGTGTGCTGGCCTTGAACTCGAAGGCCCCAGAAGTGGCGCAGCCCTCTGTGGGCGCAGATCTTTGTCAACCGCTTCATATATTCGCGGAGCTTGTTGTCCAGACCATTGGGCAGGACCCGGCTGTATTTGCTATCCTTCACATCTTTCTGTCTATTCTGTCTTTCTGGAATCTTGTCCTGCCGTGGATTCTGCGTGATGGTGATCACGCGCTCAACATCATCTTCGCTGAGCTCTCCTGCTCTCTTGGTGAGGTCGATGTCTGCTTTCCCCAACACCACAGGAGCATATCTTTGCCCCATACCCTTAAAGGCAGTGATGGCAAAGGCTATTTTCCGCTGCCCATCGATGTTAGTGTTGAGTACTCGCAAAATGTGCTGGAACTTCTCAGGGATTACTGTAGACAATTGGACATCCCCTTATGCAAGGGTCGCAGGGATGAGACGAGCCAATCAGGGTGCAGTGTAGCAATGATGAAACATACTAATTTCCTCTAGTTATTTAATGCTTCCTCCACCTACTATCATGACCTCAATTCTACCTTACAAATCTGGCTAGCCAGGAGGATGTACACTGATACAGATAGGAACTGGAAACAGGAAATCCAGGGCAGATGATCCTTTCAGATCAGTGGTGAGAGTAGCAATACTGGGAGAGTAGAGGGAGTGTTGGGTGGAAAGGGGGAACCTATTACAAGGATCTACGTGTGACCTCCTCCTTGGGGGATGGCCAATGGAAAAGTGGGTGAAGGGAGACTTTGGACAGTGCAAGATATGACAAAATAATAATTTCTAAATTATCTAGGGTTCATTAGAGGGGGGAGCAGGGAGGGAAAGGAAAAATGAGCTGATGCCAGGGGCTTAAGTGGAGAGCAAATATTTTGAGAATGATGAGGGCAATGAATGTACAAATGTGTTTGGCACAATTGATGTACGTATGGCTTGTGTTGAGTTGTATGAGCCCCTAATAAAATGATTTTTTTTAAAAATCCAGGTTACTTGGGGTGGGGAAGTCATGGGTAGTGGAGGAACAGGGCACTAACCCACCCAAGGGGGTGGGGTTTATAACTCCACAGGGAAAGAGGGACAAGACTTCAATCTGTTGCTTCGAGTAATACCAATGCAACACGCCATCATGAAGCAGGAAACCAATATGAGGTCTGAGGGGCTGGCCCCAATCCCAAATACACTGCCAGTCCCTCCTCCCCCTAGAAGCTCAGGGAGAGGGCCATGTCTCATCAGAGCACAGAGGAGCAAATGAAGATGGAGGGAGAGAGAATGGAGCACATCATGGGCCACCAAACCCTGAGGACAATATTCCCACTCAGAGCAGCCAATGCACAGAGAGGACCACAGGGCCGGCCCCATTATGAGACATGGCTGTCACTGATGCATAGCGCTATGGGGGACAACACTGGAGCCACAGTGTGGGAATTGTGCCCAATCTGACCCCACCACATTGAGGCAAAACACAAAGTGCATACAACAGAGCAGCAAGGGGAGCAGAGTGATGAAATCCTTGGGGAATACCAAAAATAGACTGTGGGGCAAGGGTGTGGCACCCCATCAGACTAGACCAGAAGACACTCATAAAGGTCAACAAACAGACCTTGAACTATTTATAGGCTTTTCTTTCTTTCTTTCTTTCTTTCTTTCTTTCTTTCTTTCTTTCTTTCCTTCTTTCTTTCTTTCTTTGTCATTGGTTTTTGTTGTTTTGTTTTTCTTTGTTGTTGCATTTTGCTCTGTCTTCTTTTTGTGCATATTATTACCTCTGCATGTCTATCTAGAGGAGAAAATAACAGGATCGCCGATTCCAGGGGTGAGGGTGGGGACATGGGAGGGGAGCACCGGGAAAAGGAAGTGGGTATTAACAAACCCAGGGACAAGCAAACAATAAGTGGTCTAAAATCAATGGTGAGGAGAGCATAGGAGACCTCATAGGACTTGATCAAGGGCAATGTAACCGAGAGGAATTACTGAAATTCAAATAAAGGCTGAACATGACAATGTGACAAGAGGAAAGTAAAAGGAAATAGAGGAAAGAACTAGGAGGCAAAGGTCATTTATAGAGGCATTTATACAGGCATGTACTAATGTAAATATATTTATATATGACAGTGGGGGCATAGATCAATGCACATATATTTATAGGTTTAGTATTAAGATAGCAGATGGACATTGGGCCTTTACTTAAGTACTCCCTCAATGCAAGAACACTTTGTTCTATTAACCTGGCATTCCACGATGCTCACCTTCCCAACATGATCGCTGAAGACAAAGTGGTTGCACAAGCAAATGTAGTGAAGAAAGCTAATGGTGCCTGGTTATCAAAAGATCTAGCATCTGAGGTCTTAAAGGCTTGAAGAAAAAGAAACGGTCATCTAGCTGAGAAGCAGAAAAGCCCACATGGAAGAAACACACTAGCCTGTGTGATCACGTGGTGTCAATAAGATCAGGTATCAAGCATCAAAGAACAAAAAATCATATATCACTGTGAATGAGGGGGAGTGTGGAGTGGAGATCCAAAGCCCATTTGTAGGTAATTGGACATCCCCTTACAAAAGGGTCACAGGGAAGAGATGAGCCAGTCAGGGTGCAGTATAACACCAATGAAACATAAGACTTTCTGCTAGTTCTTTAATGCCCCACCACCACCATTATCATGATCCCAATTCTACCTTACAAATATGGCTAGACCAGAGCATGTACATGGTTACAGATAATAGCTAGAAACACAGGGAATCCAGGACAGAAAAAAATCCTCAGGACCAATAATGAGAATAGCCATACCAGGAGGGTATGGGGAAAGTGGGAGGAGATGGGGGAACCTATCACAATGATCTACCTATAACTCTATCCCAGGGGGATGGACAACAGAAAAGTTGGTGAAGGGAGACATTGGTCAGTGTAGGATATAACAAAATAATAATAATTTATAAGTTATCAGGGGTTCGTGAGGCAGAGAGTATGGAGGAGGGAGGGGAAAAAATGAGGAGCTGATACCAAGAGTTCAAGTAGAAAAAAAGTGTTGAAAATGATGATGGCAACAAAGGTACAAATGTGCTTGACACAATGGATGGTGTATGGATTGTGATGAGTTGTACCAGCCTCCAGAAAAATTATTTAAAAATAAAAAAAGAAAAGAAAAAAAATCCAGGTTACTGATCCCTCTGCGAATAATCAATCCTTTTAATCATGTTGGCAAAATGATTGCTCTTCAGGCTTTTTATTTAACTCTGGAATTAACCCTATGTTTCCCAAAGAGTATTTGGGCAAAATTGGTATTAATAGAAGAAAAAAAATTCATAGCTGGAAGTATCTTAAATGATAATTTGTAGAATATCTTATTTTATACTTTTATTGATCTCAGCCACCTTGCAGGTAAACTGTGTTGAAATATTTGAAATGGATAAATGTTAATCCAGTTTGCTATTTTAAAAGTCCAGTGAATATTTGGGTGATATGTTATGCTTTAAAACTCAATACTTTTTCCAATTTATTTTTCTTTTTAAAAGACTGTCACATATTCATTAGTGAAAACCACAATAAAGTAAGAATATTTCAAAAATATGTAATCCCACTATTGCAAAATAACTAGTTAATGTTACATTAAAATAAAACACATTAAATTCATTGCCAATTCTATATTTTTGTGAAGACATTATTTATGAAATAGTAAAATACAGCATCATAATATGAGAAATGCTGATGCTACTAAAGTATATTTCTTGTCATTTTTTAATTCATAGGTTTTAAGAAGATTATGGATTTTTATATTGTTGCATATGAATTTGTATCAACAATTTTAGTTAGAAGTATGAGTCATATTTATTATCCAAACATATTTATCTTTTTTCAATTATTTGCAGAAAAGAAATTATTTCTTTTGAAACCTAATCCATATTATTTCATTTCATTCCAAAATTTCTACTTTGTCTGAAAAATCTTAGCATCAAAATAACAACAAGAATGTCAGTTTTAAATGTTTAAGATAAAGGAAGCATACTCATAGTCATCCATCTGTATTAGTGAATTTGAATAATATTTGCTCATATGTTCTCTTATGCATATGTACAATTTCCTCATAGGCAGAATAGTGCTTACGTATGAAAGTCAGTCATTATTCTTTAAAATTTTAAAGCAGTGGTTATCTGAAGTACTTTGTAAACTGTAGAAATAAAAAATTATCAGATCAATGAATAATCTTAACAGACCTGATTTTGTAATTGTACTACTGCTATCTTAAAAAAGCATCACAAGCCCATGTGTCTCCCAAATTAGTTATTCATGGCTCTAGGTAAAACTAATTTAAAATTTATTTTCTCCTATCGCACTGTGTGGCTTATTGTTTATTTTGATAGGCACCTTCAAGTTGTTTCTAACTCATAGCAAATAATGAAATGCTGGCTGTCCTATGCCACACGCTCACTCATTTCTGTGTTTGTTTCAGCCATTGTGTTAGTCCATCTTGTTGAGGATTTTCTTTTTTGATGACCCTCCACCAAGACTGATGTCCTGCTACTTATACTGGACCCTACTAGTAACATGTCCCAAGTACATAAAACCAAGTCTTTCATTGATTCTAAAGAGCATTCTGGTTGTTATTCCCATAAAAAATTGTTCATTTTGTCCTTTTAAATAAGCTAAGGGTGATGATTTAAAGATCACAGCTCCCAGGGAATTCTCAAAGGATGTTGTCTAGTTTTTTTTAGGTGCCATCCAGTCAGTTTAGACTTATCACGACCCTGGGTACCAGAGGGCAAAACACTGCCCAGTTCTGCGTCATCCTCATTGCTGTTATGATGTTGGAGCCCATTGTTACAGTCATTGTGTTAATCCTCTTTTTTTGCTGCCCCTTGGTTATGCATTGGACTGCTAATCACAGGGTCAGCAGTTTGAAACCACCAGCAGAATGTCACATTAATAGTATTCTTCTATAAATGTAAATTCTGTTGAGTCACCTTTCTTTGAACAGGTACAAATATGGATATTTTCTAGTCACCTGGCCACTTAATTGTCTTCCAAATTTCCTGGCACGGGAAAGTGAGTGTTTCCAATGCTTCATCACCTTATTGAAACACTTCCATTGGTGCTGTATCAGTGCCGGGAGCCTTATCTTTAGCTAATGCTCACAGTGCAGCTTGAATTTCTTCCTTCAGACCTGTTGGTTCTGGCTCATATGCTACCTCCTCATATGGTGGGTGGTGGACAAGTTCTTTATGGTGCAGTGTCTGTTTTTGTTTTTTTTTAACATCTTCTCTTATTTTTTACAGTGATTGCATTCGTTCTATCTTCTCTCTTTTTTTAAAAAAATAATGTATTGGTGACTCTTACAGCTATTATCACTATACATGCATACATACATTGTGTCCAGCACATTTGTACATATGTTGCAATCATTATTTTCAAAACATTTTCTTTCTACTTGAGCCCTTGATATCAGCTCCTCATTTTCCCCCTCTCCCACCCTCCTTCATAAACCCTTAATAATTTATAAATTTCCCCTCTCAGTGTCTTACACCAACCACTATCTCCCTTCACCCACTTTTCTGTTGTCCATCCCCCTAAGAAGGGGTTAGATGTAGATCACTATGATCTGTTCCCCCTTTGTCCCCTCACCTTCTCCTTCCCTTCCTGGTCTCTCTAGTCTCATTATTGGTCCTGAAGGGTTTATCTGTCCTGTATTCCATGTGCTGCAATCTGTACCAGTGTACATGCCATGGTCTACCCGGATTTGAAGGTAGAATTGGGATCATGATAGTGGGGGTGGGGGAAGGAAGAATTAAAGAAGTAGAGGAAAGTTGTATGTGTCATCAGTGCTATTTTGCGCACTGACTGACTCATCTCTTCCTTGTGACCGTTCTGCAAGGGGATGTCCAATTGTCTACAGATCGGCTTTGGGTCTCCACTCTGCATCCCCCTGCCCTGTCATTCACATTGATATGATTTTTGTTGTTGTTGTTCTGGGTCTTTGATGCCTGATACCTGATCCCATCAACACCTCATGATCACACAAGCTGGTGTGCTTCTTCCATGTGGGCTTTGTTGCTTCTGAGCTAGAAGGCCGCTTGTTTATCTTCAAGCCTTTAAGACTTCAGACATCATTCAACATTTTGTCCATATGATCTTTCAATATTTCAAAGTTACTTTTTCTTAAGTTCTTTTGATTCTTCACCCTAACATATGTTTAGTGTGTCCTTACTTTTTTGTTTTTTAAATGGTTCTTTGTTCCGTTCATGATAATACTTTACTTTTTTTCTCAAGGTCCTTGGAAATTTTCTGCTCAATCTTTGCATCGTTTTTTCTGCCTTAGCTACTCTATAGTTAAGAACATGTTTAAGAGTCTCTTCTAATATCCACTTTGATTATTTATTTCCTGTCTTTTTAGTGCCTTTTTGATTTCTTCATGAATCATGATGTTTTCTCACAGCTTATCAGATCTACTGTCATTATTGTTTAATGCATTAAATCTGTTCTTGATATATTCTTGAAATTCAGGTGGAATAAATACAAGGTCGTATTTTGGCTCATATGGACTTATTTTAATTTGCTTAAACTTAATCCTGGACTTATATATGAGCAATTGGTGGTCTTTTCCATAGTTAGCCCCTGGCCTGGTTTTAGCTGCTGATATTGAGCATTGTCTCTTCCCACAAGTATAGTCAATTTAATTTCTCTGTATTCCACATGGAGAAATCCATGTGTACAGTTAGTTGCCTCTTGTTTTATTGAAAAAATATTTGCTATGAATAAGTCATTGGTTTTGCAAAACCTATCATGTGATATCCAGCTGTTTTTATCACTAAGGCCATGTTTCTGTTCTAACTACTATTCCTTCCTCTTTGTTTCCAACTTTTTAATTTCATTAAAAATAATTATCAATAGATCTCAAATGCATGTATCAATTTCTGACTGAAGACACTGTTAGAAATTGGTAGAATACTTCAATTTCTTCATCATTTGCTTCAGTAGTTGGTGCATAAATCTGAATAATAATTGTATTAATTGGATTTCCTTGATGGTGGATGGATAGAATCCTGTCACAGATAGCATTGCACTTGAACATTGAAATGTCCTTTATGACGATGAATGCAGTGCCTTTCCTATGGCCATTCCATTGTTTCGTTTCCAGCAGAACAAAAATATGCTGATTCAAAATGAGCAATATCTTAAGTTCCTTTGAGCCTGTTATCATTCTTTATGCATTCCATTTAATTTTGATGACTTCCAATTTCCCTAAATTCAAACATTGTACATTCCAAGTCCCTATTATTAGTACATTTTTGCAGTTGTTCCTTATCATTTGGACTCATGCCCCATCAGCAAATGTGGATCACTAAGGCTGTACTCTCACAGACTTTACTTAAATTCGGTCATTGTGGTTGACTCTACATCAAGAAGGCTGCTCTTCCTCCGTTACATTTTGAGTGACTTCTGACCCGAGGGCCTCCACGCCTGACGCCATCTCTGACAGTGGTTTTTTTTTTGATGCTATGCATAAAGTTTTCAACAGCTACTTTCTCTGAATTGGACAACCAATTTATTCTCTGTAGTTTTTCCTTCATCTGGAAGGTTGTTGACATCTGTTCATTGTTGGGTGGCCCTGCTGGAATGTGATTTACCGGTTATTGGCACAGCTTCCAGTGTCACAGCAACACACAAGCCACCATCGTATGATAGACAGAGACAAGTGGTGGATCTGTAGGACAGATTGCCTTTGTCACTTGTAAGTGCATTACCATTCTGGAAAAACTTTTTCAGGCAGAAATTTCAGTAAGTTTTCAAATTTTTAATAAAAACCTGCTTAATCGCCTCCTTGATAGTCTTGGTTGACTTCTCTACCTTGATTTGAACTGACCCAGCAGATCCACTTGGAAGCCGCCACTTTCATTGAACCTGACTGTCTGGATCACATTAATACATCCAAGACTGACCATGATTCCAATTAAGTCCATGAACTCGTCTTTATTAGTTTATCGTGCTTAAATGATTGATTTAGAGATCAGCTTTTAGAGATAGTTAATATTCATGCAACACTTCGGGTACCCACGGAGAACAGCAGTTGCTGAGGCTAAGAGCGCATCAAAATTGAAAGGCCTCTGACCTCAGGGGCGGTCTTAGCATCAGTAGCTGTGACATCCATTCCCTGTTCTTTATCCACGTGGCTGGACTTCCTCCACAGGTTCTCCTTTCATCAAGGTTGACAGTCGTTCCTGTCTTGGCTCATTTTTGAGGAATTTTCAACCTTCTTGAAATTGTTTGATCCATTGAAAACCCCTTTAAAATAATGTGGGCCAGTATTCCTGCAAACTAGTTGTAAAGCTTTAATAATTTGGAAAGATGGCCACTTGAGAGTTTTTAAAAAATTAATATTAGTTCTGATCTTAAATAATTTTTTCTATCACACAAAAACACTCATATGAGACCCTAATGAGACCCCAGATATCTGAGAGAACTTGTCTGAAGTGATCCACTCATGCGAGAGACATGTATAAACACATTTTGTTTCAAGTAACCACCGTGTGTATATGCACTGGAACACTAGTAGCAGTTCTAGTTCCCTTACACTTGTTTAAGTACCAATTTGTATAGTTCAGTCTATGGAGTTTCAGGCAATGCTCTTTTTTTAAAAATTATTTTATTGGGGGCTTGTACAATTCCCATCACAATCCATATATCCATCCATTGTATCAAGCACATTTGTACATTTATTGCCATCATCATTCTCAAAACACTTGCCTTCCACCTGAGCCCTTAATATCGGCTGCTCATTTTCCCCCTCCCTCATCCATTCCCCTCCCTCATGAACCCTTCAAAATTCACAAATTATTATTATTTTGTCATATGTTACACTGTCTGATGACTCCCCTGCCCTTTCTCTGCTGTCCATCCCCCAGGGAGGAGGCTATATGTAGATTCTTGTAGTCGGTTCCCTCTTTCTAACTCACCCCCCCATCCCCGTTCCCTCCACCCTCCAGGCATCGCCCCTCTCACCACTGGTCCAGAAGGAGTCATCTGTCCTGGATTCCCTCTGTTTCCAGTT